GTGTTTGAGCATTCCGCCTTCCAGTGTTGCACTGGAAATGCTTTTATAAATCGTCAGGGAATGTTCTTACTGATGAGAACTGAGCATGGTCAATGACTAGCAGGCCTAACAGTCATCAAATGGAATGTGCTGTTCCATCCACATGAGGCTGTGGGTTGTGCACATGGTCAAGAAAAAACAGGGGGAAGAAAAGAACCCTGGAAACCCGAATTCCAAGGGGAGCAAAGCAGCACTGTTGTTATCCTTGGTGCCTGGGATTTTAGGAAAGTTTAGATCTAAGTCAGATGATACCTGGTCAGTCTCATCTCTCATAGGGACCTCAGCTGGAAGCTTGAATCTGCAGGTGCTTCCTTCCTTAGGAAAGATTAGATCTGAAACTGAACGTCCCTGCTCAGCCATGCCTTTAAGTAGAAATCCCAGAATAGCACCAGTGGCACGATTGCTAAGCTAGTCAAATACTGAGTTTTAAAGAAATGGATAACTGTCTGACCAATGATGATACAATTTCGCTATGAACATTAATGTACAAGGTTAATCAGATCTTATGTTTTTCCAGGCAGTAGGGTCATTGCTTGCAATCGTTAGGGAGAAATTGTAACCCCTCTGAATACTTTTGCACAGTTGGCTAGATGTATCATACTGGAGGGTTATTTGAAGGACTGGGTGGGATGAAGTTACTATTCCACTGGGACACTTGTTTTCCTCTGAAACATTATGTGTTGCCTGTTTCTAGAGGCAGGCCACTAGAACCCCTTGGTCTGATCTGGTGTCCTACATTTTTAGGTACTTAACATAGCTTTAGCAAAATACTATTTAACTGAGGTGCTTGACTGACCCTCATAATTGTAGTGTCTGAACAGCTCACAGTCTTGTAATGTGTTTAGCCTCACAAAACTCCTTTGAGGTAGGAAAGTAATCCCTGTTTTACATATGGGCACTGAGGTACCGCGGGTGGGTGGCTTGTCCAAGGTCACACAGGAAATCTGTGGTGAAATTTGAACCCAGGTTGCTGGATAGAGCTCTGGTTCCTGGATCATTCTGCCTCTGACTACATCCCTACTGCATCTATAAATGGGGATGGTTGGTTATTATTGGACCAACTTCCAAAGTCCTCACTCAAACGCTTATTGGCGACTGAGTGACATTCATGAATGAGACATGACCGATTTCAGGGTACCCATTAAAACACGTCAATGATCCCACGGGGGAAAAATAGTCCGACTGATTTAACCGTGTATTGCAGCTTGGCCTCACAAGGTGTCCAAGGGCTTGTCTACAGTACGGAGAAGATCGACCCTCCAGAGGTCCGTCTTCTAGCATTCAGTTTAGTGGGTCTAGTGTAGACCCCCAGATTGTACGCTGAGGGCAGCCCATGCTGGCCTCCTGTACTTCTCATTCTGTGAGGAGTTAGGGAAGCTGACAGGAGTATGTGCTCCCGTCGGCCTCCCACAGTGTAGACACTGCGGTGGCTTGGCTTAAGGTAAACCAAATCTAGTAACATATTTTGCATAGCTGGATGGCGTACCTCAAGCCAACCAGCCTGGTCTAGAGTACACCAGGCTCAAACGTGCTTCTCAGGAAGGAGGTGGATTGCTAGGCAGTGACATTGGTTTATATCCATCCCTGGGAGAAGCCAGAGTAGAAGTGAAATTTCCCTATCCCTTTCTGAAGAGGGTAAGAAACAGCTCCAAGCAAAATAAGGTTCTAAAGTGGAAGACTTTCCATATGACCTATTCCTGTGCATATGATACGGCCACAGTTGTTTACATACTGATCAGTATCTAGCTGCCACTGTATCATTCCTTGTCAAATACTATGGGAAACGTTTTAAAAGATAGTTGTTTTATGTAGATACTAGAGACAATGGACCACTGAATTACAGTGTTAGCCATTATGCGGGAATGCTCTGTCTTTTATGTTTCATGGCTTTTGTACTTTCTGTGTGCCATTACCCCTTGCTGTGGGAAATGCTGCTTATTTCGTTTAAACTCAGTTTTGGTACATTCCTTAGTTCCTTTATTTTTGTTTTCCTGGGTTCAAGCAAACAGAAGACCCTGCTGCTGTGCTAATTAGCAAAGAGATGCTGTTTTGCTCACCATATTTCACCATTTTTCTACAGCCTCCATGTGAGCTGGTGTGAGGGGGTTCACTCACCCCCATAGCACCCCCAGCCATCTGTCCTAGGAGTTAGCTCCTTCTGCTGGTGGGATACCTTCCCTCAGATGGCGTTTCCCCTCTTTCCTCCAGGCCGCGGCATCCTCTTCAGGACACTGCCTTCCAGCAGTGCCCACATCAGTCTCTGAGCCCCCCTTCCGGGGGTGGTTGTTTCTGCAGCAGGCTGTTCTTCAGGCCCTGCAGTCTGGGGGTTTGTTTGGCCAGAGCTCCCCTTGCCTTGCCCTAGCTCCAGGGAGTCTCCTACTCCCCCAGCAGCCAGGATCTCACTGCTCTCCCTGGGAGCAGCAGCCCATCCTCTTATATAGCTCCCAGCTGGGCCCTAATCAACTAATGCAGCCTCAGCTGGGGCTAAACTCCCAGGCCCTGCTCCAGGCTGGGGTTTGCCCTTAAAGGGCCAGTGCAGGGCAAACACCCTGTCACAGCTGGTCTGAATTTTGCACAACTATGATTTGTTGCGGTTTTGGGGTCAGTTCTGCCATGAACTTTGTTATTGCAGCCGACTGTGGTTTATGTGGCCATCTTCCCTCTTCCCTCCTCCCCCTCCACTGGTGATAACTAATATATCACTGGAATTCTTGACAGTGAGGTTAAGCCCCACAGAGACTTTCAAAAGCTCCTGCTAAGCTACATTTTACAGGGTGTCCCTGGGCCAGCACCCTCGGGACCTGACCAGTGCTGGACAAGGGAGTTTGCTGAATCAGGAGAGGCCAGTGCCAGGCTCCCCACTGGGCTTCTCCCCCCAGCCACCCAGCCCCCCGAACTGCAGCAGCCCTGCTATCCTGCTGCAGCTCCCACTAGCTCTGCTGGCTGTGGGCTCCGCTTCCCTGCCAGCTCCGGCCCCCCCTCCCGCTTCAGGCTCTGGTGCCACACGGACTCCACTGCCCCTCTGGCCCCGCTAGCAGGCTCTGCTCTAAACCACCAGCAACCTCTGCCGCTGGGGCTCCCTAGTCCCACAAAATCCGTGGTTCTTCCAGACCACTGATGTTGCCGGACCAGAGAGTTCCGAACCACAGAGATTCAGCTTGTACTAGATGGCAAATACCAGCTATTAGACAAGGGCCAGAACCAAAACCCTTGATCTGAACCATGATATACTTATTTGGAGAGAAGTTTTGGAATCCAGACTTTGATTCAGATCCGAGTGTCACCGCTGCCTATTCCTTCTACAACTAGCCAACCAGAACCTCCTGACCCCAACACCTAAGAATGCTGAAAGGGGATTTGAAATCTACTAGTATTCTAGAAATGTTTGGCTGGGCGCCATTTTCAATGGGTAGCTTCAACGTACATACCATACGTGTTGGTACTCTTTCATGCAAATGTATTGGTGGTGAAAGGTTCCCGAAACATGGTCCTGGAAAATGAAAGGCTTTATCCATTTACAGGAACAGCAAGGGCAGCAACAGTGCAGTATTGCCCTGTCAATGTGTTTCAACTTTTACCTGAAAGACCACAGCTCTGAGGAGGAGCTAGAAGGCGAAGGTTCTATACCCGGTTCTTGGACTCTCTACGCCCCCTGCCAAAAATGGCCTCTTCTGAAAAAGCAGGGTTTGTTAGGGAGATACTTGATTTCAGAAATAGAACTTGAATCACTAGGTTGCTTCACATACGCTAAGAAGCAGTTGACAGATGAGAACAACTTGGGCTGCATTTGAATCTCTGACTGAGCAGTGAACAGCTCCATGACTCATTGTGAATTTCCTGAATTCCATCGTCCACCATACAGCTGTTGCCATTAAAAAGTCAGCATTTAAATACATACCACAGCGTGCTCTCTGTGGGCTATTTCCTGTTTGCCCCTTGGAGTGTCAGGAGTCAGGAGTTTGTGTCAGGAGTCAGACCTTTCGGAAACTGTTGACTTACAACAAAACAATCCTTTCCTACGAATGGGAGGGAAAAAATCTTCTCTGAATCCCGGAAGTGGCACAACTCTGACACCACTGAGCACCTCAAAGAAATCAGCACCCCAATCTCAGAAACTCAGAGGGTACGCTGTGCAGGGAGAGCGGCGCTCTCATTTCACAAACTGCTGTAAAAACAAGCATTTTGTTGTTAAAAACAGTATTTTGGGCAGATTGCCTCATTTGTGAGCCACAAAAGAGCAGCAAACCAGCCTAGGTCGAATAAAGGGCAGTACCAGAAAATATGCTTAGCAGATACAAATTCACAACTCAAATGCTGTGACTCTCATCTTGCCAATGATTCAGGTGGGTCATTTACCCAGGCAGGATGAGCTACTGAGCTGGTGTTTAGAGCCACTGAAATGCATTTCCGAGAATATTCCCAAGCAGTTCTCACAAATTAAATAGCCATGCCACGTTATCAGGGAAATGAATCAATGAACTGTGTAGTAGCAAGACCTACAGTTGAGAGCCACAGAGCACAGCAGAAATCCCTGGGCTTAGTCATTCTTTTCTAAAAAATCTTTATAATCATTACTATTATGAGTAAAATAAATCCACAGCCATGTCCTCGAGGGAGCAGCTATGCTCCTGCTATAGTGATCTGAACTGATGATTTCCAAATCTGTGTCCTGTCAGCACCAAACTTTCTGTGCAGTAGCTAACTCGCCCTGGATGAATTTTATTCCCGCATGTGAGAGCACCAGTTAACAAATAACAGAAACACAGAGACTGATTTGTACCTTTGAGCCCTGCTCCTTGATTGATAGATCCCTGTGGCTACATGGAGCTGGTTGTAAGAGTATCTTGTTGGTGTGAGGAATAACTACCTCATGAGGGGGGAAAAGAGGGCAGAACACCATTTATAAAGGCACTTTTTCTATGGGTGTCTTTCAATGCCTTGTTTGTTTTGTTCTCATTTAGGAATCTACAAGGGACATTGCTTCCGAATCAACCACTTCCCTGAGGACAATGACTATGACCATGACAGCTCAGAATACCTTCTCCGTAAGTGTCAGAGTAACCTGCCGCCACAAGAATAAGCACATGGGCAGTGGGATGGGGAGGCGGGGGGAGGCTGTACCTCCCCACACAGCTAGACATGGATCTGCCAACACTCCATCCCCAGACTAATGTTCCCTTTTAGCTGTGCTCTTGGGCAGCTGCCCAGGAGAAATTCAAATGCTGCCCAGCTGATCAGCAGAGTGCCCATAGCCAGCAGCACCTGGCAGCATGTGTTTCTACTGGTGGTGCACACCCATGCATACCTTGGTGCACGTAACAAAATGTATCCCACACATGGATGGAAAAAAATTAGAGGAAACATTGTCCCAGATCCTATTTTGTTTGTGCTGCTGCCCATCTTCCTGAGGCTGGGAGGCGGGTTCTTGTGGCACTGTGCGCTCTCCCTAGGTTCTGTGGGGTGCTGACGGGACAGGACCTCAGGTGGATGGGCCAGGGCTGGGATCTAGCTTCTCCCAGCCAGCAATTCATGTGCTTCCCATGAGGGGAAGATAAAATGTGTTTATTTGTGTAAATGTGTAACTGCTGAAATTTTCAGCGATTACACGTGGGGGTCGGGGAGGCAGGAGCCGGTGTTTGCACCAGCTCTTGCCTCTCTCCCCCCCCACACTGCTGTCTCTGATACAGATGCAGCAATGTAGGATGCAGAAGCAAGGAGCAGTCAGCTTGGTGGGAGCCGGTATGCGCAGGGAGGTTGCTTGAAAGCCAACTCCCCATTCCACACTGGCTCCTCCCCACCCTGCCCAGCGCTGCTGCCTCTGTATCAGAGGCAGCAGCGCAGGGTGGGAGCTGCATATGACCGTGAAGGTTAACCATGTATTTGGGTACATGTTCACATCCCTAGCCCATGAATAAGCAGTAGGGACAAGCGGACCTGTTAGATTAGCTAGATGCAAACTGTTCTTCACTCAGAATTTAAGATTCCTTCATCCCTGTGGTCATTCTACTCTATAACTATCCCTCCTACCAGATCCCTCCCTTTCCATTTTACGAGAAACAATCAAATTTGAGGCACATCCCATTGTCCTGGCATAACCAAACCCTTACATTACCTTAAGTTATGATAAAAAGAAGCTGCATACCAAATTTGGTGGTCCTAGCTTTTACCATTTAGGAGTTCTTGAACAAATGGACTCTCAGATGAATGGATGGACACACAGACAGACAGCGTTTCTAATACATATATATATTATAAGGATCAGACCATCTGTGGTGTCTTTGCCCCATACTCCACACTCATCTGCAATTTCAGTATAATTCACCACATACTTTTACTCGGTTTCTTGCATTGAAAAAAAAGTTGGGCTACTGTTTTAAGTCCTCATCAATTGGCAGTTAAGACAGGGCTGCGGGAAGGGAGGCCCAGTTCATGCGCTTTGCTGTGAATTGTTCAAGTGAAGGGCATCAAAAAGCCATTACGCTGAGAAGGTTCACAGGATTTTTCACGCTGCACATAGCGGTTAAAAAACGTACAGCCTGCTTCACTGATACCAGCCTACTGTAAACCAGCAAAAGACACATTAAAAGGATTCGCATTGTTAGTAATATGGGCCATTAATCCAAAGCCCAAGGAAGTCAACAGACGGACTGATCCATTTCTATGGGCTTTTAATCAGACTCCGTGTGTGTGTGTGTGAAAACCTCTGTGTGCTGCCAAGGGATTTATATACACTTCAATTTTCCTATTTATCATTGAGACATTCCACTAAATAAACAAATGACAAGTGCCCTCATGGATGAAATATGCACAGAAGCCTTATATTCAATCTTTCACAACAGAAGTAACCCTTCTAGTTACGTGTTTGGGGAAAAAAAAGTCCTCCACAGGCCTGCACAGAGACTGAACAAACAGCTGATGACTTATTACCATACTGCACTGTTCACTTACCGAGAGCGTAATTTCTGCAGCTACCACAGTATAACATTTGATTTCAGAAAGGACTTACCAACTCAGTGGCGTGGCATTGGTGTAACTGGAAGGAGAATTTGCCCCAATGTCTTCGTAGCACTCTGTCCATGAGCTGCATGACTAAGTAGACACATTCCAACCAGGAAATAACCGACTTTACTTTGCTCCTTTGAGCTTCCCACCGGCACTCTGTCCACTAATCTGTTTGAGGTAACTGCTAAGATTAAACCCTGACAAGCCGTTCTCCTATTGCCATCATGTTTTTTTAAAGAGAAGGAACCTTTCCCCAGAAACGCTTTATTCTTCCATACGCGGCAGCTAAGATAAGGCAAAAGTAGACAAAAGACATTCTACCAATCAGAGATTTGCTACGCTATATGCAGTCACAGTTCCATGATGGTTTTTAGAGTCTGCTATCTTGCAAAGCATCAGTTCTAGAAACAAAGGTCAAATACTACTGGAAATAATGAAAAACCGAGACTCCTTGCTTTTCAATTATATAAAGCCTTCAAGCCATGGCAGGCTGTAAGGTTTCTGACCTGAAAAATCACTGTAATGTAAACAAATAATTTAAGATGTTTTCTGTGTGTTTTATAAATATAGAAGTACTGACTTTACTATCACACACAGCGGGGCCAGCAGCCTCGCCAGGCCCCTGGGTAGGGGGTGGGGCCTCACACAGAAGGGGCAGGACTGGGACTAAGCAGCCCTTAGCACTGCAGGGAGAATGCCACGCCTAGACCAGGCAGCCTTCAGTGTTGTCCGGAGTGTAAAGCGCAGCATTCCAGCAATGGTTTAAAGGGTTAGGAGCTCTGGACCCTTTTATATTCCCTGACCCTGGGGCAAGTACCCCCTTTGCCCCACCCATTAGCGGGCCTGATCACACTCTGATACCTGTTGAGTTGGATTGCTGTAGTTACACTGTCTCCTGGATTTGCAGGTGAAGGGATCTGACAATATTACCAGTGAAATCAACTGTTACACTTTGAACATGATCAAAATTATGTGCCACGAACAAAGCATGTACTCACAGAACCGAGAACAGAGATTTTGTTGGCTTGTGATTTTGATGGAATGACAGGATCACTCATTCATATCATTTGTGGCTCTCCCAGTCTTGAGTTATCGCAACCAAACTGTGTTAAAATAATAAAAGTGAAGTAGGTGAAAGAAAAGGGGCATAATTTAAAAAAAGAGAAGGTCTAGTTTCTGCAAAAGCACATTTACTCTTCCACCTGCAGGTGTGGAATAAGGAAATATTCATCTGAATGGTAAATTATATGCAGTTTGTTGTAGCCATTTTGAACCCAGGATATTAGAGAGACTAGATGGGTGAGGTATCTTAACATTGGACAAAGATCAGAAAAGGGCAACAAAAATGATTAAGGGTTTGGAATGACTGCCATATGGAAAGAGATTAAAAAGATGGGGACTTTTCAGTTTAGTAAACAGAAGACTAAGGGTATGTTTATACTGTGGGGTTTTTCTGGGATACACTTTAAATGCCGGTTCCCGCCAGCACCAGCTCCATGGTGCTGCCTGACCCTCCCCACCCACACCGGGCTGCTGACTCTATCAGAGGCAGCAATATAGGGGTGGGGCGGGGCCTGGGCTCCCCGCAGACAGAGGCTGGTCCATGGCAGCAGCCCCTGTCCGTGGGGGTTCCGAGTGCCCCATGGACAGAGGCTGCTGCTGTGGACCAGCTTCTGTCTGTGGGGAGTTTGGGTGCCCTGTGGACAGGGGCGGCAGGCAGCTGGTCTACGCAGGGAACCGGTTTTTAAACTGGCTCCCCTAGAGGACCAGCTCCTGCCTGCAACCCACACTTCTGCCTTTGATAGAGAGGTAGCAGCACAGGGTGGCAGGGGGCTCCTCGGAAGTGGGGCTGAGAGCCCACTGGCTACTGACTCCACCCCTGGAGACTATCAAATAGTCCTGTAACCACTAAGATTTCATGTGGTTACATGACTATTCCATTAAACAATATCTAACGTCCCTAACCCAAGCCCTCTAACTGGCTGCCAGAGCCCCACGCAGCACAGTCCAGGGCTGGCCAGGGGAGGCTAGCTCCTAGCCCTGCCCCTTCTGACTGAGGCCCCTCCCCTTCCCGGTACCGAGCCACACCCACATTGCCCAGGGCTTGACAAAGTCAGTCACCAGTCCTCCTGTCATACAAGGGGTCTACAGCTTCCATTTTTGAAAATATAACCCACACGATTCGTGCAACTAGTCCCTTCCCAGGGGATAATAAAAGCCAGAACAGAAAGGCAGAGCTTTCTGAGCCCTGTGGGAAGTCGAGCAGCACTGTGCTGCCGTTTCTTCCCCACCAGAGGTGTCATAATGAATCATGGTGCAGAAAATTCTATACGAAGAGACAGGACAGCAAACAAGAAAAAAATAGAGGAGGAAGCAAAAAACTGGATTCCCTTAATATTTTTTGATATGTTGTCATTTTATTACCAGTATGGGGAGGCATATGTAAACTCTGCACAGTACACATGAGCTGCTTTTACATTTCAGGGGAAAAAAACATGCTGTAGTAGGAAATTTCTGTAATATTGCGTGGGAAGAAAATGCCATGTTTCGACTCGCGTTGTGTGAATTAACTCATACAGAAAATATTATCTGGGGTGCTAATTATTAGGAATAGAACAGCCCATGCTGTGAATTTGGCTCATGTAGCAAATGTTCTCTAGTAACAGTGCAACATTTGAGGGAAGTCCTTTCAGTATAGATGAAATCATTATGAACAGCATGACTGGGGGAAGGGGGAATGAGTGTGACTCCTGATTACTATGAATTTTCTGCCTTAACTAAGATATTCATGAATGACTGTTTGGGAGCCCAACTCCAACTGCCATATTTCAAGGGTTGACACAGAGTACTTTCTGAAAAATTAGCCCCTTTAAGGTATCCCAGGATGGGCCTGGGCTCCCCAGAAGTAAGGTACCTAAAACCCCCACTATTTTTTTTTATAACTATTGGTCCTTCTACTGTACATTGTGTTACACACCACAAGTAAATGGGGACAATAGAGGGGAATCCCAGCTTTTCAGGATTGGGAATAGCCAATATACCC